TTTTTTTTTTTTTTTTTTTTTTTTTTTTTTTTTTTTTTTTTTTTTTTTTTTTTTTTTTTTTTTTTTTTTTTTTTTTTTTTTTTTTTTTTTTTTTTTTTTTTTTTTTTTTTTTTTTTTTTTTTTTTTTTTTTTTTTTTTTTTTTTTTTTTTTTTTTTTTTTTTTTTTTTTTTTTTTTTTTTTTTTTTTTTTTTTTTTTTTTTTTTTTTTTTTTTTTTTTTTTTTTTACTATTACATATCACAGCCTTACCTCGTGGTTTGTTATTGCCTCTTTACTATTTATACAACTTGATCATTCTGGATACATATAAATACATGTCTTCTTGTTTTATATAATTAAAGAATGACAGTTTTTTATGTATTATACGTAGTCTATCCCCATTTTCAGTTAAGCATGAGGGATAACTGTACAAATTTCCACTCTACTGACAATCTTTGTATTTTAGATATGAGAATGAAATATACATTTTCTTGTGTGTAAACTTGTGCAGCCAAAATTTACCATAGTGAAATTTGTAAATCATGCATATTTTGTAGAAGAGGGACAGGCAAAGGAGGGTTTCTTGGTTCTTAGAGCTTAAGGGTAGAGAAGTTTAATAAAAGGAGATACTAAACTCTAAACACAAACGACAGGGAAAGAGATCGCGACTCGAGGGGATATCGAGACCCGAGGGACAGCAGGGACCAGAGAGGAGACCCAAGAGACCAGCGCGACACCCGAGACCCCAGAGGAGGGGACAGGGAGAGGGAACGCGATAGGGACAGAGACCGTGACTACCGGAGCAACACAAGTTCGGACACCAGGGATCCTCGTTCCTCGCGTTCTGGATTCCAACAAGACAAAGACTTCAGAAGTGGTAAGTGCTGCTTTGTGTTGCTGAATTACATTGTTGTCTACTTTCATCTCTCTGTCTCTTTAAGTCTGATTATACATTTATGTATTTGGTGTATTTATAGAGTGTGTTGTATATTAAGTTGTGGATCTGAGGCCAGTTATTCTGACCTTGTTTAGCTGTTGCTCTGTTGTTTTAGGATAGAGTAATAATATTATTGTTGATGATAAATATTAAGTAGATAAAATTTATATTTTACTCTTGAACCAGCATGTAAATATCTTTTAGGATATATTTTTAGTAAAACAAATTTCTTTCTGAGAAGAATCAAAAACATGTTTTCTTTCAGGTGGTAATCCCCCACCTCCAGTCGGTGCCCCCTCCCAGCCGCCGCCTCGTGGAGTGCCACCGCCAACAGGAGCACCACCCACACTGCCACCCAGCTTGGCCGGGCAGGACCAAGAGAAGGTCAGTTGATTTCAAAATTAGTGATATTCTGGGGAGATTTGAATTACGTTTGGGTTATTATTCTACTTGTTTTAGAATTTCTACAAACTTGGTTGTAATCTGTTTATCTAGTTTGTTTCACCTTTTTTTGTTGTTGTTGTTTACACAAGTAGCTCTGCAATTCACAAAGGAGTCTGTTTCTAAGGCCTACTTCACCTCACCTGTCTACCCATTCCTATAATTTTGGGGAAAATTCTCATTTATGTTATAATTGGCATATGTCATTATTATTATTGTTATTATTGTTATTGTTATTATTATTGTTAATGTTATCAGTTTTAATCATTATCCCAATAATAATAGTAATATTTGTAATAAGAATAAAACCATCTTTCCCAAAATTCAAAATATGTGGTAAGCAGATATAGGTCATGTAGGACTAGTAATTACCCAGTGACTAAATCTGTATGGAGCAATCAAATTGTAAATTAAAATGATGATAATAATAATAATAATAATAAGAAGAAGAAGAAGAAAAGAAAGAATGAACCTGTATTGGGCACTGTGTTCATGTGCACTTCCATCTTGTTGTTGTTATTGTTGTTGTTGTTGTTGTTGTTTTCCAGTTATGGCCTCTCTAGTAGCTGGTCCTTGTCTTTAACATCCCCTCCCTCACACTTTATCAGTTAAAGATTTCCTCAATTTTAGTTTTAACCCATTGGATTCTGTTGCATCATGGCTGTCACATCACCAAAAATGTGGGCATTAGGCTTACGTGAGTGGCTACTCTGCTGGGTGACTACTTGTAAGCTGAGAGCATGCGAACACGTGTGCACAGTGGCAAGATTCTGTGCCTCTTATTTGCAAAGTTATTCACTTTTTTTACGCATAATGGTCACATCACCCACATCCAAGGGGTTAAAACTGGAAAAGAATAGTACTTTAATCTAGAAGGAAACTTTTTACTGAGGGAGTATCCCCTTTCTGGAATTTACTTTGTACCCAGATTAAAAACCAGTGTTCTGAAAGTATTTTTGCAGTAGTACAGTTTAACTATTAAGAAATAGCTAAATATTGTAATCATAAAAGTGCTGTTATGATATCGAGTAAAATTGCCAGAATTAGGACTACTGATCATTAACTCAATGCCACTGGGTGGTTTTCCAATACGAAAGCCCTCTGATCATTGAGTTATTTTTATTTTAGCATTCTGGTTGGTTGTAGTATCTTACTGAAACATTTGGATTTTACAGGCCAGCTTGATCATGCAAGTATTGCAGCTGTCGGACGATCAGATCAAGATGCTGCCCCCAGAGCAGCGTGCCTCTATTCTGCAACTGAAGGAACAGATACAGCGTTCACAGCACTAAAGGTTGTCACCACAAATCCGACTCATTTGCAGCCCAGCTCAGGATTTGAATGCGTGGTTACTATATTTAATTTTTTCTTTGACTTTGTGTAACTTTGACATTTATTCACTGGTAAATCTGTTTCATGTTAGCCTTGTAAGAAATTCCGAACTTGGGGTTTGATGATGATAAAATCAGCAAGGTAGCTTTCTTTTCAAAATAGCTTTGATGCTATTTACAGCAAATAGATAGTTTTGTTGATATACAAATGGTATTTCATTTTCATAAACCAGTAAATTTCATGACTGATTGTATTCATTTCTGGGTCCTCAATTAATTCAGAAATTCAGGATCCTATAAGCTCTCATTATTTTAGTAGGACAGTTTTTTAATTAGGAAAAGAGAGGTTTCAATCATATTACATTTTTTGTATTATATGGCAAAAGAAAAAAAAAAGGAATGTAGATATTATTTATTTGTTTTTAATATTTACATAGTCAACACACAACCCCATATATGAATTTGTTTTATGCCCCAGAAGAAATGGGATAATAGACCTATTTCTTTCTCAAATCTGGTACAAAAGTTATGTTATTTTCATAATCACAATATACCAGACTAACAATTATTGTTGAAAAATAAAATTACAGGTTCTGTAAAATACCAACTATTTGTATTACATGAAATAAAAAAATTGGAGAAGAAATGCATCTTTTACATATTGCATAGTTGTTTGTTTGTATTTGAGCAAACGATTTTCTCAACCTTTTAAAATGCTTTGTGAAATGTTAGATTTTTTTCTTTTCTTTTTGTATGTTCAAGTTTAGGAAGACCATCATGGAGGTATACTTTTTTAATTATTCAAACTTAACTTTTTAGAAAAGGGGGGGGAGGGGGGTTTCTTCGGCACATTACAGGACTTTGAAATAATAAATACACAATAAAAATAACACTAAAATATTTCATAATAACTTTTGGTGCATTTTTTTTTTCTTCTTCTTAGCCAAGTTAAATGCTTATGGCAATTAACAGTTTTACAAACAAAAATACAGAAAATTGAGGTTTATGTGCATTGCTTTTTAAAACTATTTAATATATCAATTTATGAAATATTGAAAGTTGATTAAAAAGCTTTACTATCAAATTACAATGAAGTAAAAATATAAGAACTATAATGAAAGATGAATATTGAAATATATATACAATGTAGTTGTTACATTATGTTTTGTTTTTTGTTCCTAACAGTTAACACATAACCTATATGAATTGTAAGGATGCATAATATATTTATCTTATTTTCATCAAAAAATATATGTTCTATACATATAATCCTTAACTTTTCTACATTAAATACTAGTATTTAAAAGAAACTATTAGTCAATTTATGAGGTTCAACGCATTTCAGAGTAGTATTCTTGCCAATAACTTTTAGTCATCATCTGTGTCAGTCTTGAAACAGTGCGATCAAAGGCAAACATCTCCTCCTCTCCAGTGAAGATGCTCATGGCTTTCGTCGCTGCATTCTTCTCCTTGAGCCCTAAATCATCCATTAGGGAAAGACTTTCCTTGTCCACAAATTCTGAATGCCCTTCATCGCCCCTGAAGATTTGTGTGTGGGGGACATCACTTGTGCACACAATCCTTACCTGGAAAAGAATCCTTAGTGTTTGGAATGTGTTTTTATACAATCTTTCTCTGACATGACATACAAGTTTAATTTTCTTTTATGTTCACACATACAAAAAAAATTATACACTAATTAGAGTTAATTTATGATATAATGCTCTACTCTGGCAGAAAATTGACTAAAACACAAAATAGTTTTACTAAATAGACAAGTCTTTCATCTCCAAGAATACTTTTCTCCCATTCACCTTTGACACTCTCAGGACTTCATTTGACTGTCTTTACAGGTTCTTGCTTGCAACCATGAGCATTCTGCACAATCAATCCCATTTCAGCATCCTGATCCCTAATTCATTACTCTTTTTCCATTATCCCCTTCACCC